GATTGAGCAAGAAAGGGATCTTGGGATGGTAGTAGGCAGCTTGATGAAAATGTCAGCCCAGTGCATGGCCACTGTGAAAAAGGTAAACTCTGTGCTACACATAATTAGGAATGGAATAGGAAAGAACTGCCATGACCTTAATTCCATTATACAAATTCCTGGGGCAACTGCACTTAGAATATTGAATTCAGTTCTGGTCACCTCACCTGAATAAGGACTTGAGAAATTTAAAAAATGGGGAAAAGTACAGAGAATGGAAATAAAAACTATCAAGCAGCTGGAGCATCTCCCCTATAAGGAGTGACTGCAGCATCTGGGACTGTTCAGCTTTAAAAAAAGTGAGTAAAGGGAGAGAGATATGGTCGAGGTTTTTTAAAATTATGTATGGAGAGGAGGAAATGGAGAGAGAGACATTCTTCTCCCTGTCCCACAACACTTGAATCTGAAACTATGAAACTGATTGGGGGAAGGCTTAGGACAGTCAAGAGAAAGTTCTTTTTCATCCAATGTATAGTTGATCTATGGAATTAGCTATCACAGGAAACAATGATGGCTACCAATCTATATGGCTTTAAAAAGGAATTGGACAGGTTCATGAAGTAGAGTCTATCTGAGGCTACTGGCATTACTGGCTATGTGCTACCTCCTTCACCAGATGTGGCATACCTGCATACATCAGCTGCTGAGAAGCTTGAGCAGGTGGAAGTCTTGAGTGATCCTGTGGATCCTGCTTTGCCACCAAGTGTACAGAATGCTGGACTAGATGGATCTTTGGACTGATCCAGCATGACTTGGATTATTGACTTACATTGTTACCTATAAATTGTGTCAGTTACCTGAAGCAGAGTGCTGATGTATGCCAGTTCCTGGGGGAATACAAGCAGTAAGCTGCCATTGCACTAACACATTCTTCCACTCTGGTCTGTTTCAGTGGGCAACACTACACATTATGTGGGAACTCCTGCATTGTAATTCCTGCCAATTTTATTTTTATTTCAAAAATTCCATTTGAGGTTCAAACTGGACCAAAGCAGCAGCAGTAGGAAAATGGAGGGAAGGTTAATCTATTATTCCAAGGGGGGCACTGCAGGAGAGGCGAGAGCCAGGGCACAGCCGCCCACCACCATCGAGAAGACACGGTGGCGGGTGATTGTTGTTGGAGACTCCCTGCTGAGGGGCACTGAGGCTGCGGTGTGCTACCCCAACCTGGAGACAAGGGAGGTTTGCTGCCTGCCGGGCGCACGCTTCTGGCATGTGAAGGACAGAGTGGAGTGTCTTGTTCGCTCCGGGGGTCACCAGCCACTCCTGATGATCCATGTGGGCACAAATGATGTGGCCAGGCAGGGTGTGGTTGGGATCATCAGGGACTTGGAGGCCTTGGGGAAGAAACTCAGGGAGCTAAAGGCCCAAGTGGCTTTCTCATCGATCTTACCAGTCCAGGGATTTGGGCCAGGCAGGGACAGGAGGGCCTCCGAGGTGGACGACTGGCTTAGGGTGTGGTGCCAGAAGGAACGCTTTGGGTTCCTTGACCACGGCACCCGGTTTCTTGCCAATGGACTTCTGGCAAGGGATGGGTTGCACCTCACGAGGATGGGGAAAAGGTCCTTTGGAGATACTCTAGCGAGCTTCGTCCAGAAGACTTTAAACTGAGCTGGAGGGGTGGGTGGGTTCAGCCCCCCAGAAACTTGTACGCACTGGACAAGTGTGGGAAGAGGAACAGGGCTCTGGGAGCAGAGTTTTAGAGGTACTGCAGGACTCCTACAGAGAGGGGCCAGGGAGGAAGGAGGAGGCTGGGAACTCCAAGGAAAGGAAGCGGTGGGAAGGAGTTGAGGTGCATAAACACCAATGCTAGGAACATGGGTAATAAGCAGGAAGGTCTTGAAGCGCTCCTGGGAATAGGAGGGTATGACCTGGTGGGAATCACAGAAACTTGGTGGGATGAAAGACAAGACTGGAATGTGAACATAGAGGGGCATCATCTTTTTAGAAAGGACAGGAAGGGGAAGAGGGGTGGGGGCATGGCTTTATACGTCAGCGAAGGGATAGGATGCAGTGAGATAGAATGCAGCACAGATGGGGATTCGGTAGAAGCAGTCTGGGAGAATATTAGGGGTTTTGACAGGGAAAGAGACCTGACAGGGGGGTAAGTTATCGCCCCACAGGTCAACTTGAGACCTTGGATGATGTCCTGACAGGCCAGATTCTAAGGATATCTCGAGGGGGAGCCACAGTAATTATAGGAGATTTCAATCTCCCGGATATTAGTTGGGAGACTCACTCAGCGGTGACAGCCAGGTCACGTCACTTCTTAGAAGCCATAGAGGGAGGGTTTTTCACACAGAGGGTCTGAGAGGTGATGGGGGGGGAACATCCTTGACTTGGTCTTGACCAATAGAGAGGATCTGATAGATGAAGTACAGATTAGGGGAGCTCTGGATGCGAGTGATCACTCCATCCTTTGCTTTGAGATCAGGGGACTGGGGACGTGCAGCATGTTGAGCACTAGAAGCTGGGACTTCAAAAGGACCAACTTTGGCCAACTGAAGGCCAGACTGGGGAAAGTCTCCTGGGATAGGTTACTGGAAGGTAATTGAGTTGAGGAGGGGTGGATGGCACTCAAAAGGGAGGTTTTGGAGGAGCAAACCTTGATGATACCTCTAGTTGGTAAGGTAGGGAGGCGGAGGAGAGCACTGCCATGGATGCAAAAGGAGGTGGTTAAAGGGATTAGACAAAAGAGGAACCTCCATAGGAAATGGGTACTGGGGCAAATAGACAAAAGGGTATACTGGGAGGAGGAGGCCCACTGCAGAAGGATTCTTCGCAAGACTAAGGCTGATTACGAGCTGAGACTTGCCAAGAATATCCAGAGCAACAAAAAGGGCTTCTTTCAGCATGTAAATAGAAAGAGGAAGGGGAGACAAGTAGTGGGACCACTAAATAAGGAGGAAGGATATCCAGTGACTGATATGAAGGAACAGGCACAGAGGCTAAATGACTATTTTGTCTCTGTCCTCCCCAAAGCAGGACGGGGGAGATCTGCATTTGAGATTAGATGAGGCCAGGGACTTAGGGGCACAGATTATATACACCACCCTTGAAGTTGAAGGGCTCCTTAGGGTATTGGACATTACAAAGGCGCCCGGCCCTGATGGGTTACACCCGAGAGTATTTAGAGAGTTGGCAGGGGTTCTCTCATGCCCACTGGCCTCCATTTTTGAGGCCTCGTGGAGAACAGATGAAGTTCCAGAGGCCTGGAGGGTGGTGTCAGTGGTCCCAATTTTCAAAAAGGGTAGTAGAAGGGACATGGGGAATTACAGACCAGTTAGCCTTACGTCCACTGTAGCAAAGACAATGGAAAGGCTCATAATAGCGAGAGATCTAGTGATGCTAGATAGGGAAGGAAGGCTTCCCTATCTACACAACACAACACGGCTTCCACAAAAACAGGTCCTGCCAGACAAACCTTGTGGAATTCTACAACAAGATTTCGAGATGGCTAGATGGAGAGGATGCATTGGATGTGGTTTACCTGGATTTCAGCAAGGCCTTTGACAAAGTGCCCCATGATATCCTGGTTGAGGAGCTTTGGGATGGACCAATGCACTGTCTGATAGATTAGGGCATGGTTGACTGACTGAAAGCAGAGGGTAACCATTAGTGGGGAATCATCGGGATGGTGGCCAGTGACAAATGGGGTCCCCCAGGGCTCTGTCCTGGGGCCAATCCTGTTTAATCTTTTCATTAAAGACATGGAAGAAGGGGTGAACAGTCTGCTGATCAAATTTGCAGAAAATACTAAAACTGGAGCAGTGGCCACAACTGAGGAGCAGGTACTCCAGATCCAAAAGGATCTGGACAGACTATGGAAGTGGGCAGGGGACAACAGAATAGCATTCAATGTGGATAAGTGCAAGCTCTTGCATTTGGGGCATAGGAATAGGTGTCATAAGTACAGGTCAGGGGACAAGTGGCTGGAAAGCAGCACTTGTGAAAGGGACCTTGGCATAATGGTTGACTGCAGGCTAACACCACCCTTGGTTGCATACCCAGAAGTGTGGCTTCTAGATCAAGAGAGGTATTACTACCACTCTATACAACTCTGGTGCGCCCGCAACTGGAGTATTGTGCTCAGTTTTGGATCCCTCATTACAGAAAGCATATAGCTAGGTTAGAGTCAGTGCAGTGTAAGGCCACAAGGTTGGTGGTCAGATTGCAGAGGATGGGGTATGAGGCGAGACTCAGGGAACTGGGTCTCTTCAGCCTGTAGAATAGGAGACTCAGAGGGGATATGTTGGCAACATACAGGTATGTGAGGGGATGTCACATGGAGCTGGGTAGAGACCTGTTCTCCCCTGCAGAGGAAGGCAGGACACGCTCCAACGGAACAAAGCTCAGGGAGCCAAGGTTCCAATTAGATGCCAGGAAGCACCAGGGGACAGTTAGGACCCCGAGGATGTGGAATGGGCTTCCATGAGAGGTCGTTGAGGCCCCATCGGTGAGGGTGTTCAAAGGTAGGCTGGACATGCTCATGGTGGGCATGTCCTGAGCAGAGCTGGCTGGAGCTGGGGGTCAGACTAGATGGCCAGGAGACCCCTTCTGACTCGCTCTGTTTATCTGTTTCTGTTATCTGTGTTGTTTTCCCTGTCTGAATCCTGCCCATTCCTAAGGTGTTATAAAATCCACTGGAGAATAATTATACATAGCACTTATTTCCTGCAAGAAAACAGCAGCTGGATGGAGGGGGTGGGGAGAGCTAGGTCAGGGAAACAGCATGTAGTGAAAGGGTGAGTCCTCCCTCCCTCTCCTACTGCTCTTCTGTGAACCCATTTGGAATGTCCAATTATTGTTTTTATGTAAAAATATATTATCCTCTATCTAATATGTAGCTTGCCCCTCTGCCTGTCTCTCATTCTCACATCTACCATATTCCTCCTCCATTCTTGATCTTTTTTCACACTAATTTTTCTTTCATACCCCCTTTTTGGTCCATCTTTTCACTCTTTTCAATCCCATCTTCCATTTTTTATGTGGGTTACAAGCCACCAGTTGAATTTGAATGCAACAACTTTTGCAACCATGAAAAAGACATGTCAATCACCCCAGTACAAGCCTTCACTAGGCTCTTGGGATCCTAAAGTCCTTCACTTAGGTGCACAATTCTATGCTTAAGAGGGAGCACATAGATGGGATTTCTTGGCTGTAGAGAAAGTGGGATATTATAACATTTTTTAATGGAGACCCCTTTCCTAATTCAGTAGCCCAAATTACCACTGAAAATGTCAACTGTCTGCATCCTAGTTTGTTGTGAATAGCTTTCATATGGCCATATCCAACAGTTTTCCATTATTTAAATTGGAAACATGTTAAAACAAAAACAAAAAACAAAGGTTTGCATTATCTATACTAAAAGTAAGTCAGAATCAAATATCTAGGTATCACTAATTACCCATGTTTGGGAAACTTTCCATCTGGAACAAAAGATTATACAGTATTCAATGGGATCGGTCATAGACAGTAAAACCACATTAACAAGTAGATTACTGTGAGGGAATGGGCAAACATTTAATAAACATTTTTAAAAGTTTGGGGGGTTGCCAAATGCACCTATGAAATGCTGAATGCAAACCTTATAAGGCCCCCATCAACATCTGCTCATACACTGCTTGCTGATGCAACACATAAAAGTCTATATCAAGGCAAAGAGTGTCTGTGTCTTCCTTAAGCACTCTGCTCAATAAAAGCCTGGGAAACCAGATGACTTTTGCAAGATGATTCCATTTGGTAAGTCAAGCCACCTGGTTGGAAGTTTAAAGTGCTGTGAAATGAATGCAGTTAAACCAAAGTATGAGAGGATAAAGCTGGTAACTGGATACGAGGTGGAAATGTAAAGGGATTAAGGGGAAAAAATGGCTCCAGTAATACAATTGCAACAGAAAACTCTGAACATGAAACCATTCAATTGATAAGTCAGTGGGGGCCAGGAAGGAGAGTCTGCAGCTCTTACTGCCAGTATATAACCCTTACAAGAAGTATTTCAACCATTTAGCATGGGGAGAAAAACTGCTCAAAATCTGGGAAACCACTAAAAATCCAGTGGCTGGCCAGGAGAGAGGGGCATAATACCCCAGAAATCTGGCTTGGGAACCTGGGGGATGGCGAGAAATTTTGCCCCAGGCCCAAGATTTCCCACCCCTGCTCTAAAGCATCAATTTAGAACCAAAGCATTGTAATGGAGGGCCTGATAAGAAAATATATCGAGAAAGGATACAAATGTGTCCATGGAGGACAATGATTAAACCTTTGGAAGAAGATGCCTGCTTCCATTTCATTTACAACCTTGACGCTGATTATACTAAAAAGCATTCATTGTGTCTAGGTGGTATTAAACTTCTTGTCATGGAGACATTAAGGGATTGGCTATTATGCATTGACCAAACTCATGCTTTGGATGCAAAAAGCACTTCTCCATGAAGTAAGGGGCACGTTCTTGGAAATCCTGGCAATTCATTGCTGCTGGTCACTGTAGACAATAGTGGACTAAACGGACCAAAGGACTGAACCCGTATCAGGTACCTTCCTAAGTTCCTAAGCCTTCTCCCTGTCATTGGGTTTTCTATGGGATAAATGTTTTTGTATGGGCAAGCATTCAGTCAATTGATTCATGAAGTCTAAAGTCATATATCTCAGACAGAGATTTACCACCTCAGGAAGAATGGGGCCTATAATTCACAGGTAAAGAGCAAGAGTAGATTCTCTTTTCTTCTCCAAAAATGGTGGTATCCAGGACAGAAACAGTTTAACAAAATATCCCTTAATTCACAAGACAAAGACAATTTAAACAGCTGATTGCTATGGCCTTACCCCAATAACAGTGCCATTCAAAACACAGCCACTCACAGGTTCTGCAAGATAAATTATGTGACATTTAGTATCAGTGCCTGCACCTGGCATGCTTTATACTGGAAGATCCCTGTGAGGTTAATCCTAGTTTGTACATCATAGCTGCTGTGCTTGACAAAACTATTATTTTTTCTTCAGAAGCTCCCATTTTCCCTGTTTGTTTCCCGTTAAGAAACACCATCACATTTATCTGTATCTCCTGTGAATTAGACTTTCCACATTCGTCTTGTCTTCTGGGCAGTTCAAATTAGCCTAGTGTTTTATTTAGTCTAGAAAGAGACAATAGTTATTACAAAGTTCAAGGTGGCATTATAGTCATTGTTGCATTTGGTAGCCATGCTAATTTTCTATGTTACTACCATCCCTGCTGTAGAAAATTTTCAAGGGTGCTGCTTCAAAAACTTACAAGACCAAAGATTGTTGTTTACTTACTTATTTATTTATTGCAAACCCCCCCACTCTCACAAACCTTGGAAACCCCGCAAAAAACCTACAAGAGACACTAGTGGGATGGTGAAGAATTATGCTGCTCCTGATGTGCAAAAGTGGCTTTATTATGCCACTATTACTCCTTCAAAACAGGTGTTTGTTTTGCATTTCTTAGCTAGCCTGTCTACAGGTCAGGTCTTAAGCAGCCTTCCCCAGTGGCAACTCCCACACTGACAACATTATCATCACTTTAGTCCCAGTAATACCCCAATGATACTCTAGGATCTAGTGCTCAGAGGTCCTGATCCTGGCCTGTATGAGTCATTTCACATGAGTCATTTCGCAAACCAGCTAGCTCCATGCACCCTTCCTGCTGTTGGTCTTCCATCAACCTATGATGGTCCCACTCACATCATCAGCAATAAGCACTGACAGTTTATATAATATCCCTATCCACTAAGAGGATTCTTTTCACTTTTAGAAAAGTTTAGGGACATGATTAGGACAATTTTCTCTTCCTTCCCCCCTGCCACCAAAATTTCAACATTCTTTGAATTCTGGAAGTCCACAGGTCCTTATCAGGCTGTTTGGGCTGCTGGCATTACAACACAAACACAAACACTTCTGTGCAAGAAACCAGAACCTTATTTTGGTTAACCCTTTTGCACTCGAATTATCAGGCAGTCAACAGTGGGTCCTGAAACAAAATGTTCCATAGACAGTGCCAAAAAGATGTCCTGTAGACTTACAGGCTTCCTGTCAGTCTACAATACCCATCTCTATGACACTGCATTCTATTATCTCTCCCACTGAATATTCATACTTTCTTCCAGAGTGAGTCAGCATTCTGTGGTCATGGAACATTCTAAGTTTTCATTTATCTCATTGGGCTGTTTGGGAGCGGCTCCCCACTTTAGGATTTGTTTTTAAAATGTACTTCTGAAAAACCTGAAATTGCCCCAGGCTTTCTGGTATTTTTCTCTTGAGGATGATGCCATTTCAGCTGTAAAGGGAATCACTCACATCTGAACTTCAGAAATAGAGGGAATATGACAGAAATATCTTCCATAAATTTATCAAACCTCTTTAAACAATTACCTGAACAAGTTTCCATCACAAGAACCCATAGTTATGATGTTATAAGACTACTGTATGTCCCCAAAAAGAGGCAAGGAAAATACATGTAGGAATGTAGACTGAACAGATAAATTGTGGAGGGGAAAGAGGCTAAAATAGAAGAGAACACAAATGGTGGCACAAAAAACCTTGATGTCACTGAGAGAGAGAGAGAGAGAGAGAGAGAGAGAGAGAGAGAGAGAGAGAGAGAGAATCAAAGTTGAAGACAAAATGAGCAGTCTCATGTCAAACTGCTGTTTTACAAAGTTCTCATAATAAAAATACAATTAATAAGTGACTTTTGCAGAAATTCTAGTTATTGGCTTGAAAAGAACACTTGTCATTCTCCCTTCCATTTTTGAGGGACCATTCCTTACCACAATGGCATGAGGGACAGCAACCTGAATTTTTGTTGCAGTGCAGCTCTGTTCCAAATGGACAACTTGGAGTCTCCATCTTTGTGCATGAGACATTCTTTGTCTGAATAAAGACTTCCTCATTCACCTGGACGCATTCTCTGATGATGCATGGGTTTGAGGGAGATTGCCACTCAGAGCCAACCTATGAATGAAAGACAGCCAAAGGATTATGAGGAATGAAGACTGCCCCTTTCCTTTGGTGTATATTCCTTTGCAGCTTTTTCCATGCCAGTACTGCTACAGTGCAGGAGAACAATGTCCTTCCTATTCATTGCAGAGCATGCTGGAGTTCTGCTCACTCCATCAAGCAAGAGAAAGCACCAATGACAGGGGAGGATGCTAGACAAATGAACAGCTCTATGCTCCAGAGCCATAACAGAACAAGGTAAATAAGATACATGTTAACACCCAGCTCCCCTAAAAAACAAATAAGCATCCTCAGATAACTCAGATTTTTCTAAGGATGGTGAACTTTACCAGGAATGAACATTGTTCATTTAGTGTGGTCATAGTTAAATGTTGGGTATTTTTTCATATTTATGTATTTGGATGGGTGGGTAAATGGTACATACATAAGTTTCCTAAAAGAGCACTGGTCAGGTTTAACATGAACTTGTCCCTTGCTCAGCAGGGTAGGGAAGGGTTAACCAACACAAGGGAAAAATGTTGGAAAAGCCAGGTGCTCAGCCTGAGGAACACTGGTGCCCAAGGTTAGGGTTAGGATCGGCCAAGCTCTTGATATGCGGGAAGGAGACATACTGTAAATTAGAGGAGGACAGGTGACTGCTGCATTAAGGGCAAATACCCCCATTAAGGTACCCCATTAAGGCTGCATTGAGGCCTATACCTGGGGTCCATTGCAGACCATCACCCCATCAGTTGGTGGAGTAGGGTTGGGGGGAATAAAGCCTAGGGCCTAGAGAGGCTTGGGGTTCCTCTTCAAGGAGAGGTTCCACTTTTGTTGCTATACCCCATGCTGAAGAACATGCTGCTCCCCTGCACTGCCTTTCCCTGCAGCTGGGATAGTACTTGTGTGCTAGGCTGAGCTTTGTTATTTAGTGTCTGAGGAGGCCAGCAAGGCCTGGGAGTTGGGGGTCTCGGGTTGGGTGCAATCTGCATCATTGCTGCTCTCCAAATCCCCTTCCCTTTCCCCATCTTTTCCCCTGTGTATCAATTTTTAGCTTTTTTAGTACCCTCCCCCCCTATATTTTATCCTTTTAATAAATCTATATTTCCCCCCAAACCCTTGGCTTGTCATGTGCTGAATCCAGTGTCTAGTTCAGGGTTCTGGGACCAGGGAGTTACTGGGCAGGATTTTTTGCTCAGCTGGCCATGGGAGTGGGGAATCTTGGGTAGCTTTCCACTTTTAATTTTATTCCTGTCCTCTGAGGTAGATACATAGAAAACAGAGTGAGTCAGAAGGGGCCTCCCGGGCCATCTAGTCTGACATCCGGCACCAGCCGGCTCCGCTCACAACATGCCCACCATGTGGACGTCCAGCCTATCCTTGAACACCCGCACCGATGGGGCCTCAACCACCTCCCGGGGGAGCCCATTCCACACCCTCAGGGGCCCGACTGTCAGGAAGTGCTTCCTGGCATCCAAATGGAATCTTGGCTCCCTGAGCTTTGCTCCGTTGGAGCACGTTCTGCCTTCCTCTGCAGGGGAGAACAGGTCTCTACCCATCTCCATGTGACATCCGCTCACATACCTGTATGTCGCCAACATATCCCCTCTGAGTCTCCTCTTCTCCAGGCTGAAGAGAACCAGTTCCCTCAGTCTCGCCTCATATGGCATCCCCTGAAAACCGGCCACCAACCTGGTGGCCCTACGCTGCACTGACTCCAACCTGGCTATATCCTTTCTGTAATGAGGGGCCCAAAACTGAACACAATACTCCAGTTGCAGGAGCACTAGAGTCATGTAGAGTGGTAGTAATACCTCTCTTGATCTAGAAGCCACACTTCTTTCTATGCAACCAAGGGTGGCGTTCGCCCTCTTGACCACCGCATCACACTGCTGACTCATGTTTAGCCTGCAGTCAACCAGTACCCCAAGGTCCCTTTCACAAGTGCTGCTCTCCAGCCACTTATCACCTAACCTGTACTTATG